CTTCCCTGCCGCCCTGCCCTCCTCCGTGCCCTCCTCGCTGTCCCTTCCCGCCCGCTCCTCCCTGCGCCCCACACCCAGCGCCCCTTTCCCCATCCCCTTTCTTTCTCTCCTGAAAGTCCGGAGCCCGTCCTCCTTGCCCCGGACCAGCCCAGCCCAGCCCCCTGCCTGTCCCCTCCTTTCTGGCCTGCGGGTTTGGTTTGCGCAGGCTAAACCGGGGGGGGGGGGGGGGGGGGGGGAACACAGGCAAAGTCCAGTTTTGTCTCTTAACTACGGGTAAGTACCACGCGGACAAATACGATCGGGCCTCGGGGACAAGTTATGGCAGCGGGAGGCGATGGGGACGGCTCTGGGGAGACCCTCTGCGCCGAGCAGGTCCGCCCACTCCCGCCTCCTCCCAGGGAGCCATGGCCCCAGGCCCCGCTGAGGTCTCCCAAGACACAGACAGGCAAATCTGAAGCAAGACAGACGCCTGCAGCACAAATGCTCCACAGTGGCACCGGGCTTTGCCATGCTTTAGCTTCTTTGGTGTAAGTACAGTGGGGCCTTGACTTACGAGTTTAATTCGTTCAGAGACCGAGCTCGTTAAGGAGCTCGTTAACTCAAATTACTCTGTCAACTCAATGCAAAAAATCGGCCGAGAGACAGCTGGTATCTCAAAAATCTCGTTAGTCGGGACACTCGTAAGTCAAGGCCCCTCTGTATACCAGATGGCCAGCTTTCCCTTCAGGATCCCCAAGGCCAGGGGGAAAGTCCCACTAGGAGTCAACAGGACTTACCCATTTACCCATAAAACCCTCAGGCATATATTTTACACTTAAGCACTTTCACATACATTACCCAATATAACCCACACCTGACATAGGTGTTATCACCCCCATTTTAAGGAAGGGAGACTCAGACCTTTTCAAGATCTTTTCTTTTTTTTAAATATAGTTTTATTGAGCCCAGCCCACGTGGTTCAGTGGTTGAACTCTGACCTATGAACCAGAAGGTTAAGGTTAGATTCCGGTGAGGGCACATGCCCAGATTGTAGGCTCCATCCCCAGTGTGGGGTGCAGGAGGCAGCCGATCAATGATTCACTCTCATCATTGATGTTTCTGTCTCTCTCTTCCTCTTTGAAATCAATAAAAAAAAAAAATTAAAAATATATTTTTTTATTGTTTCTTTGCAAGACAGATAATAAATAGATACGATGTGAGTTGCTGATAAATGCTACAAAGAATAACAGAGCAGGACTAGGGGTCAGGAATGTAAGGGATTGGTGGGAGCAGGGTGGAGTGCCATTTTCCTTAGTGTCACTGGGGAAAGCCTTCAAGAAGGTGACATTTGAAGAAAGAACTGAAGGAGGTGACAGAGTAAGCCATGCAAACATCTGGCGAAAGCATCTACTGAACCTCTTTTTATGAGGACTTAGAAGGCACACCTGAACCTTCCTTGCAGGCTGTCCGAGTTATAAGAGTGAACACGAACCAACACTGGTACAATTGGTACAATTCGGGGGTGAGGCGGGGGTTGGGGGGGGCAGCAGTATTTTATTTGGCTTCCAGATCACCAGAAATTATGTCCATGATTATGCCAGCTTGGTGTGTTATAAAAAAAATACCGACTTGATTATTTTGATCCCTTAATATTTCTGTGAGCTAGTCCACTTAGGGAGCTGGTGTGGCTCCACGGGGAGAGGTGGGAGAGGAGTTAGAGGAGGACTGGATAAGAAGGTACTAGAGCCCTGGCTGGTTTGGCTCAGCGGATAGAGCGTCAGCCTGCGGACTGAAGGGTCCCAGGTTCTATTCTGGTCAAGGGCATGTACCTTGGTTGCGGGCACATCCCCAGTAGGGGGTGTGCAGGAGGCAGCTGATTGATGTTTCTCTCTCATCGATGTTTCTGACTCTCTATCCCTCTCCCTTCCTCTCTGTAAAAAATCAATAAAATATATATTTTTAAAAAAAGGTACTAGAGAGAGGCACAGGGGCTGGCATAAAGAGAAGGCCAGGAAAGGAAGCTTAAGGACCATAAAATCCTTATCACCACCACCACCACCACCTTGGCTGCTCTTTTTTAATCCCCAGGATGCTATGGTGAATAAATTCAGAGCCTTCAAGTTGAAGTTTTCAAGGAAGAGATTCTCCTCATTGATTCTCCTCCTCAGGGCCCCAGCCTAGGGTGCCCCTTTAATGAGATTCTATGTAAAAATATAAGCTCAGAGTGCACAGTGCTGGGCCAGTGTCTCCCACAGAGCATCGCCTCAAGAGGACCTCACAGTGTGAGCCTGGCAGCACCCGAGAAGCGGCCAAGTGCAGCAGAAAAGCCTCCCCAGAATGAGGAAGCCAGAGCTGGGTTCAAAAACAACACAGTTTTTCCCAGCCCATGTGACTCGGTTGAGTGTTGGCTCAAGCACCAGGAGGTCACTGGTTCAATTCCCTGTCAGGGCACATGCCTGGGTTGCAGGCTCGATTCCCAATAGGGGGTATGCAGGAGGCAGCTTATCAGTGTTTCTCTCTCACATCAATGTTTCGCTCTCTCTCTTCCTCTCTCTGAAATAAATAAAACCATATATATGTACTTTCTTTTTTTAAATTCTCACCTGAGGATATTTTTTTCATTGATTTTTAGATAGAGTGGAGGAGAGGGAGGGAGGGAGGAGGAGGAGGAGGAGGAGAGAGAGAGAGAGAGAGAGAGAGAGAGAGAGAGAGAGACATCAATTGGCTGCCTCCCGCTCTCGGGGCATGGGATTGAACCAGAGACCCTTTGGTCCAAGGGCCGACACTCTAACCACTGAGCAAACCCTGCCAGAGCTAACCCTATTAAAAAACAACAACAACAACAACAACAACACAGCCTTTATGTTTCCCTGCTCTCTGCTCCCTTCAGGGAAATCTCTAACCAGCATCTGTGGAGTAGCTGAACTCAGAATTGGTCCTGAAAACACACACACACACACACACACACACACACACACACACACACACATCCTTTGGAATCTCCAAGAGGCAAGTGATTCAAATGGGTTCCCCTCTGGGCCTTGGTATGTCTTGGAGGTGAGTCCATTCTGTTTCCTCTGACTCAGCCTGCTGCTGCCACATTTCTGTGTTGTCTGTCCTAGGATTTTGGCATCTGTTCTTGTGTGACAAGAAGCAACAGCTCCCTTGGGTAGCAGCTCTATCTTTCCTGCTATAATGTCAAGAGGGGGAGGTGTGTGTGGAATGTGAGGCATGGGTGTGTGTGCTCGCGGTGTTCTGCAGAGAGAAAATGAAAGCTTCCATGCTGTGTGCAGGCTGGTTTCCAGTTGACCACCCTACGCACAGCTCTCATATCTTCAACGTCTTTGGCTTTCTCTGGGAGAAAAAGGTTGTAGGATGGGCAGGGACCTAACGATCAGCTCTATGCCTGAGTGACTTTATCTGTAGGATCTGATTTTTTTAAAACCCAAACCTCTTCCCTTCCTTGATTTTTAGAGAGAGGAAGGGAGAGAGAGAGACAGACAGAAACATCGGTGTAAGAGAGGAACATCGACGGGTCCCCTCCTGTACCCACCGGGACTGGGAATTGAACCCAAAACCTTTTGGTGCATGGGCTGATGCTCTAACCAACCCAGCCCCCTAGCCAGGGCACATCAGTCTGATTTTTAGACTTCGAATGTGTATACCGTTATTTCCACTTAGCTCAGGAGGCCTCAACTAGTAAGTGGCAGAGCCATAGTTTTGAACCCAGCTCTGAGTCCAAAACACTCTTACAATAGGGCCTCCCTGATGGTGACGTGCCCCAAGGAGCGCAATATATGCAAAGAAAATTACCCAGCATTGTTAGGGACAACGCGGGGAGGACTTACAGGGCTCAGCTTCCTCAAATGTTATACCAAGACATGAATGAACAATGAGGTGTTTTCGCTGGCTCGCTAGGTCAAGGAAGAGAGCATTTGGGGATGGAGATATACTACATCCTTTTTCAGGCGGTGATTCTAGTGGGTGCTCATGCATTACCACTGTTGTCCTTTTTTTTTTATCCTTACCTAAGGTATGTTTTTATTGATTTTGGAGAGCGGGAGAGAGAGAGACATTGATGTGAGAGAAACATTGATTAGTTTTCTCCCGTACTTGCCCCGACAGGGGAATAAACCCGAACCCAAACCTTTCAGTGATGGGGTGATACTCTAACCAACTGACCACCCGGCCAGGGCCATTGTCCTGTCTTACCCAGCTTGGGTTCTTACTCCAAGCTAGTGGTTCTCTGGCTGCGCAGAAGAATCACCAGACGAGCTTTTACAAATCTCTGATGCCCAGGGCTGTTCTGGGAGACTGTGGTTGGCGGTAGGACTTGGGCATTGATGTTTTTGTTTTGTTAATCCTCACCCGAGGGTATTTTTTCCCATTGATTTTTATTTTTTTTAAAATATATTTTATTGATTTTTTACAGAGAAGAAGG